AACTGGGAGAACATTTTTGCACCCAACACTAATGATAAAGGACTGATCACAAAAATCTGCAAAGAGCTGATGAGACTCAACAACAACAAAGAAAATAATCCAGTCAAAAAATGGGCAGAAGAGGCCTCCCTGGTGGCGCAGCGGTTGAGTGCTGGGTTGCGAGGCTGCCCGCAGCCTCTGCGGCGCCGGTTCGATCCCCGGCTGCTCCCCGGCCACCGGAGGAGGGTCCCACAAGGCGCGCAGACCTCTCCTGCCGCCCGCTGCTCCCCTCGGCAGTGTGCTTCGGTCCTTCTGCCTGCTCTGCTCCCCGCTCTGGCTCTGGTGAATTCTCTCACCCTCCTGTGCTTCTGACTGTACCCAGTGCATGTGTGGGCGGGACGGGCGAACAAACAAACAAATAAATAAATAAAACATGCCTCTGTAGAAAAAAAAAAAAAAAAAAAAAAAAAATGGGCAGAAGAGCTAAAAAGAAACTTCTCTGAAGAGGAAATGCAAATGGCCAACAGACATATGAAAAAATGTTCAACATCACTTGTAATCAGGGAAATGCAAATCAAAACTACCATGAGATACCATCTTACACCAGTGAGAATGGCACATATTAAAAAAACTAGCAACAGCAAATGTTGGCAAGGTTGTGGAGAAAAAGGAACTCTTCTACACTGTTGGTGGGAGTGCAAACTGGTCCAACCACTATGGAGAGCTGTGTGGAAATTTCTGGACCTACTAAGCATAGAGCTTCCATATGATCCAGCAATTCCACTACTAGGTATTTACCCAAAGGACACAGAAACATCAATTCCAAAGAACACCTGCACCCCTATGTTTATAGCAGCACTATTTACAATAGCTAAGCTTTGGAAACAACCCAAATGCCCAAAAATAGATGACTGGGATCAAGAAGATGTGGTACATATATACCATGGAATATTACTCAGCATTCAAAAAAGATAAACACATGCAATTTGCAGCAACATGGATGGCGCTGGAAGGGATCATGCTCAGCGAAATAAGCCAGAAAGAAAAAGAAAAATACCGGATGGTCTCACTCATAGCAGGAATCTAGAAAACTTAAATAAGGGACCAGGAAAATGAATAACTATAAGAAAGTGAAAATCAAAATCAACAAAAAACTATGAACCAGAGACACTTTTTAGAGGGGGGCGGGAGGGGAGGGATTGGGGTCAGAATGGGGGGTTTGCAATTATATGGGGGAATATAAAAATAAAATTTATTATTTAAAAAAAATAAAATTAAATTAAAAAAACATGTTCTAGTACCCTGATTAGATCTGCCTAAAGAACCAATTGTGAAAGTAATTTAAGTTTGTGTATTTGTCACTACATGATACAAGTTCTGCTGTTTTCTGGATATGAATCTAGTACAACTGTGGGCTCCCAGAGTTAAAAACTAGAAAGATGCCAAGTTTTTCTTTATCTTCTGGGGTCTATCACACATGTAAGTACTTGATAAGTGTGTGTAGAGATCAGTATTGCCTATAAGCTAACTCTTTCCAATTTTCATTATGTTTTTGATCTATTAAACAAACTTGTCTCATTGAATTTAATCCTAATTTCACATTGAATTGAAACATTCTAGATTTTTCTCTCCTTATTTCTACTTAGTGCTCCGTAGGAGATCACTGTTATTCTCATTCTTTCTGAAATTATCAGCAGTTCAGATTTTCCTGCCAATTTTTTTCTCACTTCTATTTTAAAATAGATATTTGTGACATATAAAATAAAAGCTTTTAAAAATGAAGGTTTCTTTTAATGGAAAATCATCAACACAGTAGCAGTAGCAAATACTACTTGTTGAATAGTAATATCTAAGCACTGCGTATAATTTTTTATAATCAAAAGTCAGATGATCACAAGTCTGCAATGTATGTATAACTATCCCATTTAACAGCTGAGGAAACTTAGGCTCAGAGAGGTGAGGCATCTTAAGTAAAATCACACCAGTAGGATGTGCATTCCCAGGATTTGAAGCCAGCTATATCTGATTACAGAGATCATGCTATTAGTCATTTTAGCATTACATTATAAAGTAAGCATACTGAAAAAAGTTCATTATTAATGACGATATTTCATTGTCTTAGAACTGTCTGTAATTAATGGTAAGGTGTATAGATAAAAAGTGCCAGAGCATTGCCCACTTCAGGAATCACAAAAGTCAACATTGTACAGCACAGGAAGAAATAGAAGTGTTCTTGGTTGAATAAAAAGCAATGGTTGAAAGAAAAAGACTCCCTTCACCCTTTCCAGATTCCTCATGCAATGAATGAAGAGATTCTCTTCTCTTTCCAGAAAATCAACTCTTGAAATAGGGAGGCAAAGGCCAAATCAACAGTACGTTAGAGCAGAAATAAGCATTCAGTCTTCTTCATTCATGCACTGGACTTAATGATATGATGACATTGCTATATATTTCCACTGGCCACTGTCCTGACAGTTCTGTCAAAAAGCCATTTTTAGAACTTAGAGCTCATGTATGAATTTCCTATTTGTGCATTAACTATTACAACCTTTCACATTCTCATGTTAAAAGACAAGGTTGAATAGTAAAGGTGTGTGCAGGTATAGTCTCTTGCCCTCAATGAGGGTTTACAGCACTTAAAACTTTTTTGAGGAAAGCTGTCTGTTTGATGTGGATGGTGGTGAGAGTTATTTATGTAATATGGAGCCAATGTGAGTCTGCAATGAGGAGAAATTTCCCAGCTGATTATCTAGCAGTTGGGCTTGGGTCAAAGTGAATTACAGTATAGCTTTCAAACCTGTGTAGTCATATTCAGAGTTCTGCCCATACTTATAGAGAGGGTGCTGATACATACACACATACACATACACTATCTATCTATCTATATATATGTATATATATATATATTTTTTTAATTTTTTTTTTAATAGAGGCATGTTTTATTTATTTGTTTGTTTGTTTGTTTGTTTTGTTTATACATGCACTGGGTACAGTCAGAAGCACGGGAGGGTGAGAGAATTCACCAGAGCCAGAGCAGGGAGCAGAGCAGGCAGAAGGACCGAAGTACACTGCTGAGGGGAGCAGCGGGCGGCAGGAGAGGTCTGCGCGCCATGTGGGACCCTCCTCCGGTGGCCGGGGAGCAGCCGGGGATCGAACCGGCGCTGCAGAGGCTGCGGGCAGCTTCGCAACCCAGCGCTCAACCGCTGCGCCACCGGGGAGGCCCTATATATATTTTTTTTAAGTAGAAAGGGTGTGAATGAAATCTGTACTTCTACTACTCCTAATCCCATGTGGCTAGAGCTTGGGCATCAATCTTCCAGGCCAAGAGACACATTTTTATTTTTCCCTTCAACATTACTAAAAACCACAATGTGGAGAGGAAAATGACTATTCATTAATGTCAGACACTGATTCAAATGCCTTACAGGTCCCAGTACTGCATTAAATAAACTTTCATATAAAGTATGAGTCAGAATTGGCTCTGTAAGACTTCTTTTTAGATATGATTGTTTTAGACATTCAAGCAGTTTGTAAAATATTTATTTGAGGTGGAAATGAATATCCTTTCAGTTTATACTGGTAGTTTTAAATCCCTTTTATTTTAGTATCCAAATGATTGGTTTCATTTTTCAATTCATCAAAACATTTTCCTTACCAAAAATATGGGAATTTGAAGGCAGGTAACTAGATAATTAAAACCTGAGTATACCTGTTTCTTTCTCTCCAGAGGAATAGATAGGTAGGTAGGTAGGTAGATATGTGTGTGTGTGTGTATGAATATCTGTGTATGTGCATAAAATTCTGTGTAGTTGTAAATATATGTGTTTCTATGTGTGTGTCTTTGTATGTGTAGATATATATGCCTACTCAGAGGTCATGATTGATACCAGCAAATGCGGCAAGAAAGAAGTTTCATCATTAAGATTAACTAAACAACACCATATTTTACATCTCCCTTTATTTATATACTAAAAATTTTTGAAAACTAACACCAGCGCCCAAATTAACATTGACTGGCTCTGTTTATATAGGGATTTTGTTTAGAAAAAGTTGATTTGAGAGTCAGTCATGTGCCCCTTGGAAGAAAATAGGTGTGTCTACAAAAGACTCCCCCATACTTAGATTCTCTGAGGAGGAAGAAAAAGGAATAGAACTTCAGCCATTATTTTAAGGTAAATAATGTTTTCAACTCTTGGTTTTTTAAAGAAAATAAAAAATTAAAAGACATTTAGAAAGTATAATAAAAGAATATAAATTCCTTTGGCTACATAAGATCAAAAAATGTTGACACTTTTACTTTTCTTCAGATGTAAGTAATTTTCTCATTGACTTTTTTAGTATCTCACAGATTCACATATACAATAATTAAAATGACCCACTATCCAAGTAATAGTCAGTACTAATGTGGAGACCTGTAGGGTTACGTGGCTATACATTTTGAGCACCCACTTCTCTAAAGCAGCTGTCACTGGGAAGCAAAACTCAGAAGGAATAAAGTAATGTGGTGACTGATCATCTTCCCACTAGCTGCTATTGTGTAGCCAGGCTATGATTTTATTTTTAAGTTAAGGCTACTGACGAAAGCAGTGATTTATGTGATACATATTCTATACACCATGATTACAATAAATTAAATAACCACTGTTAATTTATCAACACAAATTTTTTGTTTATAATCTCCATTTACTTTACAACTACTTAACCGGCTTTGTTCTGGGATACAGCTAGAGGAAGATTAAATAACCCTTACCTACAGGAAGCATTCAGTCTGGCATTTGGGCACAGCTTCTATATATTATTATTATTTTACCCTCACTGCTGCTGTTCTATATTGAATTTTTAGGAGGTCTGTCTGATCATCACATGAGCATTGTGTAAGGAATAAAGTTAAAAGTTGCATCTCTGACTATGTATTATAATGCGAGAAGATTATAACCCAAGAAGAATCTTTTTTTGTAAGAAGGTATCAGAAGGCCCATTGGGGAAACTGAAATGCCTGAGTTCCTTTTGTTTCTTAATAGAGTCGGATCTGGAAGGCCTTGATGACCTAGGTACTATTTACAGCAACATTGACCAGCAGCTGAATGAAACAATGAGGCGTCGCAGACACGCAGGAGAAACCGATTACAACATTGAGGTGCTGCTGGGCGTGGATGACTCTGTGGTTCGTTTTCATGGCAAAGAGCATGTCCAAAACTACCTCCTCACCCTGATGAATATTGTGAGTAGTGACTCCTTTTGAGGCTTTTTGACCTTTTAATTCATTTCTCCCCTTAGTGTCTTTTGGAAACTTTGTGAGGCCTACCCAGACCTCAAAAGGCTTGAATGAGGCCTGAGCCCCTCATCCAAAATGTGTATACAAATGCGTTCAATTCAAATATTGATCTGCATAGTTAACACACAAAAATGCAAAAATAAAGGAAGCCTGAAGCAACTTTTTCTTTGGGGTGATTATCTAGTTTTCTGCTGTCGCACGGGAAATGCTAAACTTTAAACTGTCATGGAATTATGGCATGAATTATGTATGATTTTCATTTTTGTTCTGGGGATAATCAAGCACTCAGGACTCTGTCCACCTGCCTTTATGTGAATCATGAGGGATGAAATATTTCTTTCTGCATCATTTTTTATCCCAGATGACAAAGAGTGCTTTGGACTTGATTACTCTGTGTGCATGCTTGTTTTTTGAACTAGACTGATTTTTTCCAACATTATACAATTTATGGCAACATATTTGCAAAGTATACTCAACTCTTGGCACAGGCTGTTCAGCAGTCATAAAGGACTCTAAATTTGCCCTTAATTTCTCTTTTATGAGTCTTAATTATATACAGAAGATATTTAGTCAACATCTTTAAACTGGCATTTTTTTTTTTGTGTGATTTGGCAGAGGACAATTGAGAAATAATGCATAAACCACATACCTCTAAAAGTTAATTGATATAGTGGTGCACTTTATTTTTTATTTCAGCTTCTAAAATTATGAAATACATATACTGATTTAATGGATATATTACCTAAGCCTATTCTCTCTCTTCAACTTTTAATGCAATTTCTTAGGGCATCAGTATTTTTTACCTTTCCTTTTCTGCATTTAAAAGTTTAAACAATTACATTGGAGAAGAAAAAAATATCATTATCATTAACTAAAATTTTATATTTTGTAATATTTCAGCCTATATATTAAATGTGATTTTGTTCACTGAGATGTCAATTTGTGCTATTCTCCATATGCTATGTCTGTGTGAGATGGAAAATGAGTACAGAAATTCAAACACATTTGGATTTGTTCATTGGCACTAATTCCTATTATAAGGTCAAATTATCACATAGAAAATAACTATATGCTGCTAAAAATCCTAGAATACAAGGACAGCTCTATGCCTCAAAGAATTATGACTTTTGCATCTAAAATTTCAATAGTGCTCAGATTTAGAAACTTTAGCAGATTTTACAGACAACTCGCACTGCTCTCCAACTGGGTAATTTTAGGATTCCCCTAGAAGACTGGTAGACAGCTTCAAGCATGAGACAGAACACTGACTTCCTTCTTTTCCTACCCCCAGCCCCCATAGCTCTACTGTAGACCATGAGATCTCAGATATTGAAATGAGTGTGTCCTTGTCTCAAATTTACTGATTAGGGTTTTATTATGCTAATAAAACTCTAATGGGATTTTAGACTTCTTAATAGAAACCAAGAAAACTGTTCTTTCTTACCTTTAGCAATGTTAGAATTATTTTGATTTGTTCTAGCCATGCTTTACAACTCACTTGGCTATGTAAAATTGTGGCTCACCAGACTCAACCCCTACACAAACGTAGAGGTTTTCTTCACGTCACATAAGTTCACAGGCAGAGACGGCGAAAGAAAATTGACAGCAAAAACGTCTTATCTCCTGGCCTTCATTTGGAGAGAAATGTGTTACTGAAGAGGAGAAAAGAGCATAATTCCTTTCATCTCATTTGGTACCTTTACTTTAATTGACTAGTCAGCAAATACATTCTCTCTTTAGTTTACCTGATAGTCAATTTAAATTCCATTCCAGAATCCAAATGATCTTTCCTATCGAGCTTCTGAACTAAGGGAGTACTTTAAGAGTCAAGTGACTTGTGTCATGATTGTTCCTTCAACTTAAACTGAGCTCCTTTTTATAAGGGAAGCTTGTATTTCTTATTTCATATTTTCTTATCTTAAAAAGGGTTCCTAAGTTATTAAATGTTAAACATCTGTTAAATGAAGGACTGGATAAATGAACAAATGAAGATAGCATGGAGGTAGATTCTAAACAATCTTGGGAGACAGACTCTGGATTCAAAAAAGAGCACATAAATGACAGATGGAGGCTTTTCATCAGCTTAATGATATCATGAAAGCAGTGTTTAAGAAGTAAACCAGAATTTATTGGGTGTTGTGTATTTTTTTCCCAAGTATATTAGAAGATGGGAATTATTACCATTTTCCTAGAGGAAACAAAGGTTTTAAAATGTTAATAAAATTGAGGTAGAGTTATCAAAATTATTTAAAGTTTTTGAAATAGTCTTAAGGAAAAATAATGTGGTGGTAATAATCACTAAAAGAAGACAGAGTGGAGCTTCCTGGTTGGTGAACACATCCAGAAAATAATAAATACGAAAATCGATAGCAATTATACAACTCCCCATGGAGGGTTTCTCTTCTTTGATCAGTTCTATTTAAAAAGCCAGTCCTTCAGCCAGCAATAGATATATTTTCACTATGTTTAAATCATTGTGATGGTATAAAGAATTTCTTGGCAGGTTAAGACCAGGCAGCACAGGGTTTGGTAGAGGCGAGGAAATGGAAATGACTTCTAAATATTAGTTTGATTTGAGAGAAGTACAAGTTGGTGCTATAAAGTCATGACTTGTTTTTTAATTAGAACTGGTAAATTTTTACCAAATTATTAGGTTAAAGTCAATTAAAAGAACATTAAAGATACATGTTCCATGAATTCTAATCCTTTTGGAAGCCAGAATTTCTTTCAGTTAATACAGTATTTAACTAATATTTACCTAACTCTACAAATAACTGGCACATTTCCTTCTTTACATATTCACATATTCAGTGTTACATATCTTGGTGGTGATGTTTGAAAGCATCACTATCTTATCGTTATCCTTTCTTTGTCTTTTGCTATGCTTTCTTGTTTAATATGACCATTTTGACTATAAAGGAAAGGCTAGAGAAATAGTAACATTTCAAAATTGATTAAAATGAACCCACCTAACTTGCTTCCTTGTCAAACAATCCGTAAACTAGATCTTGTGTTAGTTTTCACAATCACTAATAAATTGCCATCAAAATATGAAATCCATATGTATTGAAAATACTACCTAAAATACCAAAGTAGCTTTTTTTGTGCAAAACTGAATTAATTCATTAAACATTTATTGAATCATCAGTATAGTGATCTCTACCCTAAAGATACTTATAAAATTAAAGAAAACCCAAAAATCCTGGGATTTTCATTTTCAAGGCCCTAACAGACATACTAATATAATCCTTCACTTTATAGATGAGAAGCTAGCAGCACACATAATGCTTCACTATTTTGGTTACAGTAACTGCTGTAAGATCAGAAATAAGAATAAGTTTCACAAACACTCATCTTTTTACAATTTCTGTCATGTGCAGAATCAAAACAATGATAGTGGATATCTTGACAATTCAAATTTACTGTCATATCTTTGTTTTTTCAGTCTCTCCAAAATAACTTCCTTCCCACTGTTCCTTCCTCTCTCTGCTAAGCCATTTCTATCTTTTCTGGTGATATTTTACTGATCAAGACCATGAGCAACTATAATCTACTATGAACCTTCCATAGATTATTCCCTCAGTATAAAATATGTGACTTCCTTGGCAGCAGTTCTCTAGCATGTGTCTGCTGGAGTGTAGTTGCTGTAGTTGTTATACTTCCTGCTGGCAACATCGAAAGCAGTGTTTGCTGCATAGTACTAATTCAATAAATTGTAATTGATTCCATCTTTTATATGTATCTTAATGCTAAACACCAGATATATAGTGTTGAACACAAATACTTATTTCCTGCCCATACCAAGACTACAGATTGGTGGGGAAATCAAATGAACCTGTGAGATGTTAATATCAGAACTATGCAGAGGGGGTCCTCCCTGGTGGCGCAAGAGGTTGAGACACAACCTATGAAGCTGTCCGCAGCCGCTGCAGCACAAGTTCGATTCCCCAGCTGGCCAGAGGGCAACCCACGTGGCGCAGCGGACCTCTCCTGGCTCGCCCGCTGCTCCCCTCAGCAGCGTACTTCCGTCAGTCTGCCTGTTCTGTTCCCCACTCTGTATCTGGTGAATCCTCTCACCCCCCCATACCTCTGGCCTGTGCCCCAGCTCTTGTATGCATACATAAACAAAATCTTAAAAAAAAAGAACTATGCAGAGAACCAACTGTTTGCTTGTAAAGGGAAAAAGAGGGCACATGGCTAGTAGGGATTATGCATAGTTATGATGGTCAAGAAAGTTTTCTCCCAAGAGTGATGTTAAATTGAAACTTTAAAAGAAAGAGGCAATCATTGAACAGGTTGAGTGTCTGCCTTACTATTAAAAGAAAGTCACTGTGCAAGGAGCCAGGTGGAAATTGGAAAAGAAGACAAGTATCTTTCAAGTCATGGGAGAAGCTTGAATTCAATTTTAAGTGAGTCAGTAAAAAGCCATTGAGTGCCTCTTTCTGTGTTATAGTGAATACGTTGGAGAGGCTTACAGAAAACGGAGACAAGCCAATTAGAAATCAAGTGTCAGTATCTGTGCAAGAGATGATGGATTATAGGACAGTGGTCATTGCAATAACATGAGCATATTTGTGATAGCATTAATCCACTTGCCCAGTGGATCAAAATAGCGGACTAAGGGAAAGGAAGGAATTTAACCATGTATTAACTTTTCTTGCTAAATTTCTAACTCTTTAGCTCAATTTGAACTCTGATGAATGACTGTGCCATTATACGTAGATGGGGTAGTATATGAAAAAAAAAATGATCATGGAGAGTCAAGGTTATTGATGATATCTTTGAAGGTGTTTGATAATCATCTAGTTTCGGATTCAGGTTCCAAAGAATGATTTAAGGTTAAGGATAAAGGCTTTTACTACTACCAACCTATATTTAGTCTGTTCCGTATCTGTTCTTGTGCGAAGTGCTTTACATGAGTTATGTAATTCCCCTCAGCCTTAAGA